ATTTGTGATTAGATTACAGTTGTTTGCGTTCTTTACTTTAAAAAAGGGAATAGGTTTAACAATTTTATAAATTTTCATTTTTGATCTTTAACATAAATGATCTTGACCTTTGCATGGTTAAAGGTCATTGACTTAAGATGACCATTCTTACTTTGATCTTTGATGTCCGATATATACTTCCGGTTTTGCGGACGTCCAAAACAGCAATTTTCGAAACTTCAAAGGCTCATATTACTTTTATTTGACATTTGTTGACCTTTTGACCTGAACAAAAGTTGTTGCCCCTTACGAGATATATCCGATAATATCCTCACTTTTGTTGTGCATTGTTAACTTCCGGTTCTACAGCAATTTGAAAATCGCGATTTTTAACTTTGAAGAGCTCTGTCACGTGACCTAATTAACATACGACAAAATTTCTTATATATTCTTAGATTGCATGATCTCTCCTTTTTGGTGATATATCACACTTGATATTTTGATCAAAATTGCGCGTTTTAAAAATTGAAAATTTTATACTGACTTCTATAGTAGCTGTGCGTCAATTCACGGTGTCTATAATCTACCGACAGTAACCGTTGCCTTAAAAAACGTAAAACTGCAAATATCTCATGATCTAATAATTGTTAACGCTTGCAATTTTGAGCATTATTTAACAATGTACACCTCATCACAAACCAATTAAAATTTTTAAAGTGGGCGTGGCACATCCGGTGTGCATTTACCTTTACCTGAAATATTTGCAATTGTCATAACTCGCAAAGTTTGCAATTTTCACCCTAGAAATTTTGCATGAAAGTAGATCACTACTTAGGACATTTTGTGATAAGATTACAGTTGTTTGCGATCTTTACTTTGAAAAAGGGAATAGGTTTAACAATTTTAAAAAATTGTATTTTTGAACTTTAACGTAAATGACCTTGACCTTTGCTTGGTCAAAGGTCATTGATCTAAGATGACCATTCTTACTTTAATTTTTGATGTGCAACATATACTTCCAGTTTTACAGACGTCCGAAAACAGCAATTTTCGAAACTTCAAAGGCTCATATTACTTTTATTTAACCTTTGTTGACCTTTTGATCTGAACAAAAGTTGTTGCCCAGTTCGAGATATATCCGATAATATTTTCACTTTTTGCGATTTTTAACTTTAAAAAGCTCTGTCAAGTGACCTAATTTACATACGTGAAAATTTCTCTTATGCCCTTATTACCCACAATCTATTCTTTCAAATATGTAAGACTTGGTATTTTGATTGAAATTGTGCTTTTTAGAATTTGAAAATTTTGTATTGACTTCTATAGTAACTGTGCGTAATTGTAACGGTTTCTATAATCCACGACAGTCACCGTTGCCTTAAAAACTTTTAACTACGAATATCTCATGATCTAATGATTGTAAACACTTGAAATTTTGAACATTATTTGACATTATTAGAGACAACACAAAATTTTTGCAGTGGGCGTGGCAAATCCGGTGTTATTTTTACCTTTACTTTAAATAATTCAAATTGTTACAACTCTTAAAGTTTGCATTTGTCACCATCGAAATTTTACATAAAATTAAAGCACTATTTGGGACAATAATTGAGTTACATTTTGTTTGGGCCTTTTACTTTAAAAAAGGGAATAGGTTTTACAATTTTTAAAATTTTGATATTTTGACCATTTACATGCATGACCTTTGTCTTTAGAAGGTCGAAGGTTATTGATCTACGATGTCCATTCATACTTTTATCTTTGATGTCCGACAAAGATTTTCGCCTTTACAGACGTCCCAAAACAGGAATTTTCAACACTTTTAAGGCTTATATTTCTTTTATTTGACCTTTGTTGACCCCTTGACCGTAACACAAGTTATAGTATCTGACAAAACCTTTCTAAAAATATTTCCATTTTTGTTGTGCGATTTGTTTTTTTAACTTTACAGCTATTTGAAAATTCGACTTTTTACTACCGAATGTCAACACTTTTTAGTACCTAATGGTCTTTCCATGCGTCTTTTCACTACCAAACGTTAAACGGTTTAAACTTTATTTTTTACTATTTTTATGTTTACATGCTTTTCTCATTGTGACTTTAAAATGCAACGTGTTATTGATGTATCAGGTTGGATGCGCACTGCTATAACGGTTATAACGGTTCTAGTTTTGATTGTTATTTGGCAGGTTGACTCGAAACTTACATGGTGTAGACTGCCAGCATAGTGGAATAAAAGAACATTCAAAATTTTGTTATCACTTCCGGTTTTTCGATGTTAGTACTTCCGGTGGTATCACTCTCGGTGAAATTGAGTTATGTCAAAAATTACATATGCATTATATTACCAGCCTTAATACAAACTTATTAAACTAAAAAAATCCACACTGGAAGTAATATATAGGCCGCCATTTTGGTTTGGCTCATTTTGCAGAAATAGCTATTCATCTGATTTGCTCATCTTTTGTGTCATACAATACGTTTAATGTCTGTCTACAATCCTTAGGAAGCATAGTTTTGATTTTCGGTTTTGCCGAAGGGTTGAAGGCTTATAACTCATGACCTTGACCTTTATATTGACAATGGTGATAAGGCTGTCCTTGACCTTTTGACCTTTGGGGTCAATCAACAACTTCTGATGTTATAGGGGTCTAAATATGGTCAATTTGGCATTTTTGCAGTGCTGTATCTCAAACCCTAATTGACGTATCGCGGTCGACAAGATAACCACGCCCCTTTCAACAAGGGAGGTAAATCTTCAATGTTCCTTCCCTGATATCGTCATTATGGCGTCGCATAACAAGACTGTAAGCTTCAAGATAAGACTTCATAATATTGAATAACACTTGGACAAAATAAAACCCCACCATTATTTTGTATAATGATTATATTTTCACCCCAAATCTATGATTGTTCATGAAAATGAATAATATTCATAGTCAAAGTCCGATAGCGGCACTCATCGATTATTGACCAGGAATCAAAAACATGAATCAATGTAGAATTTGCAGGCACCAGAGTTTAAAGAAATAAAACAAAATAATTTTCAATGTTTTTATTGATAAGCATTTGACATTAATGTTACAATTAAGGGATCGGGATGATTTGTGGTCGTCACTAACAATCATTAAAATCCATACACACCCGTTACTAAATCTAAATCTTCTAATTTACAGAGAATGAGTCATCTGATTGATATTCTAGCTTAGCTGATTTAGGAGATACAACCTATATTTAGATCAATGCTGGAAAACTTATTGACTGGTCAGGAAATGTGACAAAGTTTGACACTTTGAACTAATATTATAAAATCAAGAACCCATGCCTCAATAAAGAAATTAAATATATATGATCTGTAATATACAAATACATATTTTGATACTTAAAACAAATGATTTTACTAACCCAATTAAATTTAGCAGCTAATTAATGAATACAAAAGTGACTTTGAAATATAAAACAAGATGGCCGCTCTGAAACAGGTAATAAGTACAGTAACTACAAAAGTGATAATAACTTTAGGCATGCTATACTGACATGAGAAGTAAAGACAGGCATGCTGAGAGAAATACTAGGGCTATATGCACCTCCAGCCAAAATTGAGAGCCCCTTGCACATACGACTTTTTTAAAGGGCAATTGAAAACATGGATTTTTACAAATCATTTTAATTAGAAGCAATTATAACTAGATACCATAGTCTTTTCATTTTTATCTCTTATTTTTATTATTAACTTAATCAATGTAAAGACTGTTGAGATATTTCTATGTAACGGTCTATAAAAAAAAAAACTATTTATATTATTATTATTAGATAAATCGACTAATTAGATTAACCTGGCTGTCAACCCCAATAGAAATCAAAGTTTAAGTAGTTTTAAAGACACCCTTCCTTTTACATTTCTTTAATATGTTTTATGTCCAGTTGTGGTATATAAAGAAGCTCTAGGGTGGATTAAACTTATCAATACTGTAAGTTGAGCTTTCAGAAGCACATTAAAGGGATACCCCCACTTAATTTAATAACTTTCTTATTTCTTATCCGATTTTCATCAAACTTGGAATGTATGTGTATAATTAAATTCTAAATTTGGTGGAATTATCAAATTTGCATAGTGCACATGCGCATTACCAACTTTCTTATTTCTCATCCGAATTTCATCAAACTTGGAATGTATGTGTACAATCAAATTCTAAATTTGATGGAATTATCGAATTTGCATAGTGCACATGCGCATTACCAACTTTCTCATTTCTTATCCGATTTTCACCAAACTTGGTATGTATATGTATAATCCAATTCTAAATTTGATGGATATATCAAATTTGTGTTTTGTGCTTGCGCATTACTAACTTTCTTATTTCTTATCCGAATTTCATCGAACTTAGTATGCATGTGTATAATCGAAGTCTAAATTTGATGGAAATATTGAATTTTTGTTGTGCGCATTACCAACTTGCTCATTTCTTATCCGAATTTCACCAAACTTGGTATGTATGTGTATAATTCAATTCTGAATTTTATGGAAATTTTTCAATATTTGTTGTGCCCATGCGCATTACCAACTTTCTTATTTCATATCCGAATTTCATCAAACTTGGTATGTATGTGTATGACCCAATTATAAATTTGATGGAAATATTTAATTTTTGTTGTGCGCATGCGCATTACCAACTTTCTTATTTCTTATCCAAATTTCACCAAACTTGGTCAAACATTCTTTTGTTCCTAGTCAATATACATTAAACTCCAGGCACTTTTGGATATTTGAATTTATGTAGAAAAGTATTTACATTAATGTAATTAGACAATAGACCATCTTCGTATGTACCTGAATGTCGTAACACGCCCTGCATCAGTACTGTTATTAGAACAGTTCTAGTTAAATATTGCAATGGAAATGGATTACAAACCCTTAAATTGAATTTGAGATGCACTAAAAAGTTACCTTTGTGGTCCTGTGGAGCAGGGTATACTTATATGCTTATTTGGTTCATCTCTTTAAGAAATAATATTACCAAAAAATAAAAGACAAATATGGCTTACCTTAGGAGTTTCCTTATTGATATCATCAAACATCATTTGATTCATCTACATAATATGTATTATATATTATTACCCCAGTTAGTTTTGGATTGTATAGATCTTTTTATTTTGGTCCATCACTGCAATCAAGTTGGAAATCATGTGAGCAAACTATTGTTAAAACAGGCACACATAGGTCTATGTGTAAACAGTTATGTGTAAACAGCCTGCTGGTGCTATCAAATGCATCATTTAAGTATAAAATTATGACAAATTGGCCCAAATGTAGTAGGGCACTTATCTGTTGGACAGGGGTAGGGCTGTGAGCTGTTGTATTTAGAAAATTGTAGATTGAAGATAATTAAAGTTGTCTAGGCTAGTAATGAACCAAACCCAAGAGGATAAGTAAGACAGACCTACCCTACTAAGACTGATAAATGGTTTGTTGTTATATTCCAATTACGGCAAATATTTCAGCTTTTTAACTTACAAATGAAATTGATAAAAATCGGTAGGCCTAGGCCTAGATCCATTCGTCAACATTTCTTCTCGAATAATGTATTGTTGACAATCCAGACCTACTTCTATCTAGTCTACCTACACTGTAGGCTACTGTTCTGAATCCAGAGGGGCAGATTCACTTGTTCAGATAAGATTAAACTTACATTTTTCAAGAACTTATACTAAATATTTTTCGATTCTTTTGATTTTCAATAGTGTTCATCCTTACGAACACTCAAACCAAGTTTTGTCAAAATCCGTCAAGAATTGTGTCTTGTGGAGTTTTTATGAGCAATTGTGGATGGACGGACTTTTCATGTGGGTGTATAAAAAGGCAAAAAAACGTAAAATTTAATGCAAACTACAGTTTTAGTCCGATTGTCCTCAAACTTATTTTAAACGGTAAATAAGAAGAATACCTAGGTCCTCCAGAAGCCCTTTTTTATACGCCCACGTGAAATGGGGGGCGTATATTGCCGTCACCCAAGTCCATCCACTTGGTGTGAATGTTTGTAATCACCCAAGGATGAATCCTATTGAAAATCAGAAGAATTGAAAAATATTTAGTATGAATTATTGCCTTTGTTCTTGAAAACACGTTCAATTTTTAGCTTGTACACACAAAAGTTATGATTCTGGCTGGATTTTGACAAAACTTGGTTTTATTATTCAGTCCCATGCTGAAGACTGAATATTTGCCTTCTAAAAGTTTTCACGAGCTAAAACTTGGACGCGTTTTCAAGAACAAGGGCAACAATTCATACTTAATAATTTTCAAATCTTCTGATGTTCAAAAGAAGTGTATTACTGAAGGTTGAATATTTCATACTGATGATTATTACTGTACTGCTAAATATCTTTATTCAAAATCAAAACTGCCAGTGGGCGTATATTACCTTGCCTGGCAAGCTATCTTTTGAATTTCGACTTTGTCTTTCCTGTCAAAGTTTTTTCTGTCTGGCTACATTTCAAGTAGTGATAATTTTTGACCATGAGCTTCCACAACTTTCTACTCCAGCCACTCCTTTAATTAGATTGTCATTTGTGATTCTGATTTTTGATTTTGTTACATTACCTTTTGATTTATATGACTCTGAAAATGATTAATTTGCATATTTTTTGTATCTTCAGAGGATTATATCACATTAACTGACACATTGCCTGGCAAGCTATCTTTCAATTGTTTAAATCGATAGATAGAAATTGGTATTTTTTACTTGCCTGTCAAGCAGTTATGTTTTTAAAATTATCTTACAGTGGCCTGTAGTAAAAATCAGATTAAAAGACATAACAGGAGTTTTAAGAAGAAGATTTCTACTTAGACAACTGGTAAGATTTTATAATATTACTAGTGACAAAATATTTGTTAAGGACCGTTTTTAGTCTAATAAGAAATTTCAACATATATGTGATTTTCTTTAATTTCGATCAAATTGATAAAACTTAGTATGCTCAAGTCAACAATTGTCAAGATCTTTATTTGAACATTTATCAAGTTATTGTCCATAAGGGAAGATCAAATTATTTTCTTGTTTAAGGGGATAGTAGGCACCAATTTCTTTTTTATTTATCCACTTATCTTGGGTATTTTCAATGGTATCATACAGGGGTGTTTCAGGCTACAGATATAATGATTACCATGGCAACAAAAAAAATGGCAGGAAGTTTTGGCCATATCATGGGAAACATATTTCTCAAAAAGTAATCACACTATTGACTTCAATTTCTTAAGAATATAAGAGCATGATTCAACATGCAAATAAGGAATTTGAAAGAAAATGGCATTCGCTGAAAAACAGATAAAACACTATAGGTGGCTTTATGAAAATAATTTTTAGGTATAATTATGTTCATCCAAAAATAATTTTAAAACAAATTCAACATTTTTTAAGTGTTTTTGGTGGAGCAAATGGGGTTGGGATCTTCAATCTCTGTGTATTAGTTTGTATGGCTACTATTAAATTGCCAGTCTGTGACATATGTTATCAAAGATAACATAATGAAAGAAAGAAAAACACACATCTTCAGGTTATTAGTTATATCATCTATGTATCAACAATATCAAATGGTGGATGTGGGAAAACTTTTTGAAGCTGAATGATGACAAAAGAGAATATTTAGTAATGGGTTCTAAATGGCACCTTGGCAATCTTGAAAATCATGTGTCGATTCGTGTGGGCGACTGTGTTATTGAACCTTCCACTTCTGTATACATAATTTTGATTCTAATATGAACATGGAATTTCATGTAAGCAATGTTTGTAAATCTGGCTATTTTAACTTACATAATATAAGTCAAATTAGAAAATACATTTCAGTGGATTTTGTTTTGGTTTATTTTAATGATATTTTACAGAATTATTTTATTTTGGTTTTTATTGAATTTTCGCTACTGCACTTTTTGCAGCAATTACTTTTTCTTATTATATTTTTAACATGTTATCTGATATATTACCCAAAATATTATTGTAAAGCGCACTTGGGCACACGGGTGAGAGATGAGCATGAGCTATAAAAATACATCTTATCAATAATGATAATAATTAGCAAAAAAAAGGAGAAGCAGAAAAGAAGAAAACTAGAGCACAGAGTGGGACTTTGCTAAGGTGGCAAATTGCAAGAGACTCTGAAAAAATCAACCGTCTAGGTTGATTAGGTCATGTGCCAGAAAAGTCGAAAGTAATGACATCTGCCCTAGTAAAAGGGAAGGTCAACAAAGGGTGGGTTTTAAAAGCCAACTGCCTACTGCTGCCAATCGGCATACCAAGGTAAAAGTAGGGCACTAAAATGAGAAATGTTAAATTTAATTTCTTCCACCTATAAGAATTTTTCAAAATTAATCCTTGACGTAGACTATAATAATTCTGCGAATACTCTTCCTGTTGATCCAACAGAATCATCGATATATGTAGTGGATAAAAATCTTTACCAAGACTGGAAGATCCATGTTCCCAACAACAGTAAAAAGTTAAGGGAAGTAACTCTGAAACAAACGACCTTGTTCAGTTGTTGTGATCATTAAAAAAAAATCTAGAGGTTTTTGTACGTTTTATTGTGTGCCCCATTTTATTTTTAAAAGAGATTATTGCTATTTCAAACACGAATTAAATCAGAAAATGTGAAGGAAAATATCTCAAAACAAAAAAAGAAATATTAATTTGTTTCTTTTCGTTTCAAAATAATTTTGATTCCATAATATTGACGTCAACAAAAATTCCGTCAAATTAAATAGTTTCGTTTTGTAGTATGAAAATCTACGATCCTTAAATTTAACAATGCTCATTTTAGCCCCTCTTTTTCACTCCGGTATGCCGGTTGGCAGCAGTAGGCGGTTGGCTTTTAAAACCCACCCGTCAACAAAGGTAAAAAATGTATATGGCTACAAAAACGTATAAATAGATAATCAATGTCAATGACCTTGAGGTCAACAAAGGTCAATGTCAAAAATTGAAAAATTCTAAAACCCGTTCCTTTTTTTGAACTATAAAGCTGAAACAACTGAACTTTTAACACAAACTGGCAAAATTGATTAGGTGCAAAGTCCCTTTTTGAACAAATGTATCCTATGCGAGTTATGCCTCTGCCTTTAAATGTAAACAATTAGCAATTCAACCCGGATGAGCCACGCCTGTTATGAATATTAATGTACTCATGAATATCTATGAACTCGGGAACACATGCGCAGCATGTTATTTACGGGAGTGTGATCTACCAAGGGAGCTGTCGACTGTATGTAACAGTGTTAACACCTAATAAATATGTCTACATAATGTCTGGTTGATACTTTAACAAATAGTAGCAGAGACATGTCACGATTCTCGGAAAAAGAAAGAGAAAAGCCATGCCAAGTACTAATTGATTCGGATGATTGTCTGCTACGAGTATCAGGCCGTCCACGCGCACGAGATTTACCCATAATTGTTAATGTAAACAATAAGATCTCTAAAATTTCTACCATAGAAAAGTTAGACTTAAAATTTGTATAAATGTGGATAAGACTGTTATTTTGCTGTTTTTGCTGTGTATGGGCACTGTGTGTGGGCGCTGTGTGCGCGAGAGGCACTTTTAGCTGTAATTGGCGGTGTTGTCAGGCTACTATTTGTTTGGAATCAGCGAAAGAGTTAACGAAATCGGTAGGAAAATGTGAACCGGTTTCCTCCGCAAACAAACTAAAATCTTTGGTTTTTGTAGGTAATAGATCTTTCTGTGTAGCTGTGAGGTTTCTAGAGAATATTGCAACAAAAATAAACCCTCTGGTGTTTTGAGGGGAAAATATTATGAAAGATATAAACAAGAACTTTTTGCATGGAGGGAAGTGACAAAGTTGGTGTTGTTGTGGCCCTTTCTCTCCCAGAGGAAGACACCATCAGGGAATTAGTATTTGATCAACTGCCTCTTACAGAACTGAAGTTTGTAAAATATCTGGACAAATGTCTTGGTAAAAATGATATTGTTGATAGTTGACGACTTTGATGGTAATGGGGAATCTGTCAGAGAGTTTGTTGACTGGAAAATTGAGAAGAAGAAAATGGTATTACCCCAAGAAATCCTGGCCTTTAAGCTGATTAGAAAAACTAGGATTACAAATGAAGAAAAGTTATTGGTTCTAACAGGCATGAACTATAATGAACGTGATAGTCTTTATGAACGAGCAATAGCTTCCCTGTTGAAATTTAAAGGTGATGCTGGCTACAAAACTGATGACTTGTCTGGTATCAAGATGGAAGAAGTCTTCTCAGCAGCAAGTGGATATTACAGAAGGCGTGGTAGAGGCTGAGGACGAGCACCTCAGCACTAGAAGGATGAATCCAACTAGCGCAGATGGCAGAGTTTACACATGTAGAGCTTGTGGTTCTTACTGACATCTTGTTGCAAACTGTCCAGATAGCTGGGAGAAACGTGATTCAGTAAATGTTACAGAAGCGCAGGAACATGTTGTGCTAAATACTGGTTTGGAATCAAGAGAAGACCTAAAACAACTTAACCTTGAAGCAAGAAGCTGTGTTGTTCTTGACAGTGTTTTTTTTCTAGCACTGTGTCTGGTAAATCCTGGATGAAAACCTATTTGGACTCACTTGACCAAAAAGAAAAAATTAAAGTGGTGTGCAAAAAAGGGTGACGTTACTTTAAATTTGGTAGTGGAACAACTTTAAAATCTATCAAAGAATACGAAATACCTGCTTACCTGGCTGGAAAAGATATAGTTATCAAGACTGACGTTGTGGACTCAGACATTCCACTGCTTTTGTCGAGTTCTGCTATGAAGAAGGCAAAGGTAAAATTAGATTTAGTCAATGACAGTGCAGAAATTTTAATTGGATTCAGCTCTTTTTCACCAAAGTGATCATCTGCTTGGAATGATTTGTTCTCATGTTGATGATTTTCTGCACTCTGGAGAAAAATCTTTTGACCAAATCGTCATTCAGAGCCTATGGAGAAGATTTTGTGCTGGAAAAGTTGAGATACATGACTTCCTGTGTATTGGTTTCCGGATTTGTGAAAAAGACAATGGCCAATTTCTGACCAGTCTTAAATGTGGAATTATTGGAGACCTGTCACAAGCAATTAAGGCAGTGAATAAACTCAAAGATACTGAATTCTATTGTTAGAAAACATTTCTTTTAAGCATGATCATCTTGGTTGTTATATAGAAAATATAACTGAAGTTCTTATATAGTTTATTCTGATAATGTTAGTCTACAGGTGGGTTTCTTATTGCCTCATATTGGTGGATTGACTTTATAACCTGAGCTGTCCGTTATCCGCAGACAAAACTGACTAAAAACGATGTTGTCTTGGGTTATAAAGACAATACAGCAGTAAGGGACATTTAAATAGAAAACAGAAATGTTAGTATGTAAGTTAATAGATGATAGATAAGAACATGGCATAAGACACAAATAAAAACTACTAATCTTATTCATTAATGGAGAAATACTATTTGTTCCATTGTTTCAATGACATGGGTAGATAACCACTCTCGTCTGGTAGTTGATAATCATCGCGTGATAACCTTCTTCATATATTTCGGCCACTTGACCACCGGGAGATACTAGATTAGAGGCGACCGAGTTTTCGCTGGAAGATAAAGTACCTTGGAAGATGCCTGAGTGCATTTTCCAACACTATCCTCGTTTATGTGGCGATGTTTGGACATTAATTCTATTCATAGCTGCTACCCGTGCAAATTTAAGTGATGGGGTTAGTAGCATGGGTGTGCATATAATTTTCTTGTGTGATCAAAAGGGCAATAGTTGCCCTCTGGTATGGCAGGCCAACAAAATTAGACGTGTAGTGTGATCCACCATAGCAGCTGAAACTTTGAGCCT